GTATAGATTTGGTATATGATGCCTTGGATAAGGTCAAGGTTATTCAGGATCGACTTCGCACCGCTCAGTCTAGGATGAAGAGTTATGCCGACCGTAAAGTTCATTATGTTGCATGCATGGTTGGAGAGAGGATATTGCTCTGGGTTTCACCCATGAAGGGTGTGATGAGGTTCGAAAATAAGGGCAAGTTGAGCCCTAGGTATATCGGACCCTTTGAGATTCTTGAGAGAGTGTGTGAGGTGGCCTACAGGCTCGCATTGCCACCTAGTTTGTCAGTTGTCCATCCGGTGTTCCATGTTTCCATGATTCGGAAGTATCACGGTGATCCGTCTCATGTGTTAGATTTCAGCTCAGTCCAATTGGACAAGGATTTGACTTATGAGGTGGAGTCGATGGCTATTCTAGCCCGATAGTTTCGATAGTTGAGATCTAAGAGTTATCCTCCAGTTCAAGTACAATAGAGAGGTCACCCGATCGAAGCAGCCATGTAGGAGTCTGAGTCGGACATGCGGAGTAGATATCCACACATTTTCACCAGCCCAGGTACCTTTCTATGTCCGTTCGAGGACGAATGTTTGTTTTAGAGGTGGAGAATGTGATGACCCGATAGGTCATTTATAGTTTTACCCTTCATTTCTGTGTTATGAGAACTTGAATTAATTCGTTTAGCCTTCCTCAATTTGTGTGCGCAGTCTGTGTCTTTTTTCCAGAAGGTTTTTATAAGAAAATTGATGGAAATGTAAATCGTGCCTTAAAACTCATTTGAGTTGACTATAATCAACGTTTTGTGTAAACATACCCAAATATGTATTTTGACAGTCCCGATGGGTCCGTATCGTGATTTGGGACTTGGGCGTATTCCCGAAATTTAATTCTGAAGTCCCTAACTTGAATTAACGCAATGTGTTGAAAACTAGCAATTTAAAGGTTTAAAGGATTCATAAGTTTGACCTTAAGTTGACTTTGTTGCTAACAGGTTCGGATTTCAGTTTCGGAACTTGGTATAAGTTCATTTCAGTATTTATAACTTGTCTGCAAAATTTGGTGCAAAACGGGATTGATTTGACGTGATTCGGACGTCCGGTTGAAAAATTATATGTTATTAAGTATCATTGAAAATTTCATTCGTTTAGGTATCAGATTCATAATTCTACGTGTTATTTTTGTATTTTGATCGCGTGAGCGAGTTAGTATGATATTTTTGGAGTTGTGTACATGTTTGGTTTGGAGCCCCGAGGGCTCGGGTGAGTTTCGGACGCGTGGCGGAGTGTTGAATGACTTAGGACCTTGCTGGTTCTGCTGCACAGGCCTTAGACCTCGCAATTGCGAGGTCAGGATCGCATTTGCAATAACAGAGGGCCTCTGTCAGGTTTGTATTTGCAAACTACTCCTTCGCAATTGTGAAAAGGGGTCTGGGACAACAGGGATCACAATTGCGATCAATTGATCGCTTTTGCGAAGCTCCAGTGTTCGCATTTGCGAACAAATCATCGCAAATGCGATGACAACAGAGATGTGGGCTTCTTCGCATTTGCGAAGCATTTCTCGCATTTGCGAACCCCAGGTCGCAATTGCGACATCTGTGCCTGGACAAAAGAGAAAAAAAACGGGAGTTAGCTTATTTCTTTCAAACTCTCAACCCTAAACACCCTAGAGGCAATTTTTTCAAGAGTTTTTCTTCCTAAATTCATTAGTAAGTAACTTTAATCTATTTCTTTTCAATTACCCATTACATTTCATAAGTTTTCAACATCAAATCTAGAATTTTCATGGTAGAAATTAGGGATTTGGGTAGAATTAGAAATTTTTATAAATTTGGGATTTAGACCTCAAATTGAGGTCAGATTTCGAAACTAATTACATAACCGGGCTCGGGAGTGAATGGGTAATCGGATTTTGATTCGAATCTCAGATTTTGACCAAGCAAGTCCGATGTTGACTTTTGTTGACTTTTAGGGTAAAGTGTAAAGATCTTAACTTTATGTATTGTAATTGATTTCTCTTGCTTTATTTGATGTTATTGCATCGATTTTCGTTAGATTCGATTGGTTTGGAGGTGGATTTTAGAGGAAAAGCCCTGGTAGATCTTTGATTTGCTTGCGGAGCGAGATAAGTGTTGGGTCTAACCTTGGTTTGAGGGAATAGGAAACCTTGAGCTATGTGCTATGTGAAATACATGTGTAGCGTCGTATATGCGAGGTGACGAGTGTATATACACCATCAAATTTCCCAATTTCATGCTTTCCCGTATGTCATTAATTATTTTATTCCATGTCTTAACTATTACATGCTTTAATTGTTTCCTATGCCTTAACTTACTACTTGCCACTTATTTCTCTTGTATTAAAATGTTCGTTTCTTCCATGCTTCCATGATTAATTACTACTTGTCTCAATTGTCTTACTTGTACATTTTAATTGTTATATATTTGGCTTGCCTTGTTGCTTTATACTAGTTATAGCATTCCTTGATTTGGTACGAGGCTCCTTCATGGCTTTACTTTCATATTTCTTTAAACGTAGAGATTATTGTGATTTGAGTTGTTAAATTGATTACACTTATTGATTTTGTTTATGGATTAGGTTGCACGCCGCGACAGGTGAAATTTGGGACTATTAAAATTTATATGGTGGGATCAGGTTGCACGTCACGCCACGCCGCAATGAATTTTATTTGTGATTTTGATATGGTGAAATAAGGGAGGAATATGATATTGATTCTGATTATATGGTGGGATCGGGTTGCGCGCCGCAACGAAGTTTACATGTTATTATTGATATTGATATGGTGAAATAAGGGAGGATTGTGTTTGTACGGTGGGATAGGGTTGCACGCCGCAACGGGTGAAATAAGGGAGGATTGTGTTTGTACGGTAGGATCGGGTTGCACGCCGCAACAGGTTGTGTGTCTTGAATTCATTGCTGTACTGTGTTAGCTTTCGATGCTTTCGTACGAGATTTCGAGTACTGGTGTTGGTGGCTTTACCGAATTTCGAAGATTGAGTTTAATTTCATAAGTTATCTGCTTTACTTTCTTGTATTCCTTTCCTGTTATATTATTATACTGCGTACAAGTTATTGTAAGTGACCCGCCTTAGCCTTTCACTACTTCGTCGAGGTTAGACTCGGCACTTACAGAGTTCATGGGGTCGGTTGTACTCATACTACACTCTGCATTTCTTGTGCAGATTTTGAAGTCGGTCCAAGCAGCACTCAGTAGATTGCTCGGATTGACCATCAGACGAAGACTTGAGGTACAACTGCTCGGTGTTCGCAGCCTTGAAGTCCCCTTCTACCTTATCCTAGTTGTTTATTTCTTTTAAGACAGTTTCACATTCATTCAAACCATTATCTATATTATTCTAGTCGCTCGTATACTTGTGACACAAATTCTGGGATTGTATCTGGATATTGCGGATTATCATGGTATCCCTTACTTTATTTTAGTTTTATTTCAGTTGTTCAGCTTAATTGGTATTAGTTAATTTATTTTTGTTAAAAATGATTAAAAAAATTAGTCTAACGTTAGCTTGCCTAGCAAGTGAAAGGTTAGGCGCTATCACGATTCTGAGGGTAAGAATTCCGGATCATGACAACAACCAAACATGAAAAAATTAAAAAATATTTTTCAAAAAATATTTTACTGCAAACAAGCTGGGGGACATCTCTCAGAGACTTATAGAACGTTCTTGTAACCATGATTCCTGAAGTGTCAGTACACACTGATTAGTTAACAGCTTTGTCAAAGCATCAGAGATTGTCTCCAACGGCTCCTGCTATTCTCATCAACCTCATTTAAATGTGAAAATCACTAAAAAAAAATTAAAAAATAAGTAAGTACTTTTTTAATTTATAATTTCAAAAGTATAATAAGTGCAATTATAAAAATCTAAAGGCTGAACTCATCAATTTGTCCAATTTCACGGGCGATTACGATAGATCAAAGAATTGTCTTTAATCTATTTTAATTAGTCTTAAAATGTTAAATTTCGAATCACACTTTAAGCCGATATATTTATTTCCCGCACTTCTCCCGTAAATCTTACTAATTTAGTTAGCGTTTGCATAAAGATTTGGTTGAAACTTGAAAAAAGAGTTTTTGAAGTTACGTTGAAAAATAATTTTTAAAAGTTGAAATTGTGTTTGAACATGCATTTACTTGAAAAAAAGTTTAACTTTTGAGAGTAAAAAAAAATAATCACCCAGAAACTACCCTAAATTAGTTTTTGGAAACTTGAATTTTTTAAAAAATTTGAACATATTCCATGAACAAACAATGTTTTTAATTTTGTTTTTTGAAAAATAGTAGCCAAAATCGGCCAAAAGGGTTCTTTGTTTTCATATCAGAAGTTTTCCCCCGTTCATTTTTACTTGTCCATTATGGATTTTGCATGTCCCTTAAAAAATAATAAATAAAATATATAATTTATCATAATATTCATATTAATTGATGTATATTTTTAATAAATTTAAAAAAATAATTTGTAATGAGTAATAAATAGTGCTACGTGATGATTTTTTCTTTTGTAGCCAGGATCCATAAGAAGCGTCAAGTGGCATGTTATATTTTGGTAATTATGAAGTGTCAGTGACATATTGATTAGTTAAACAACTCTGTCGAAATATCACTGCTATTCTTATCAAGTCTCTTTTGGGTTTGAAAAAATTTTCTGGAAAAGAAAAAGAAGTTAGGTGGCCTTTTCTCCTTTCTTGAAAATTATAGAGATATGAAGAAATGTTTTTACTTTCCAAAAAAATACTAAACCATTAGTGTTTTTGGTCGTTAAAAATAGAAAATATTTATGATAAAAGTTTCCCGTCGCAAATTTTCATCCATGTCGATGAATTGTCCGTCACAAATTATGTTGACAGTAGACGTTACTTATATTTGATGTTTTGTGTCCAAGTTTCTGTTAGAGGTAACTATTCCCTTCATTCTGTAAGATATTCTGTAAGTAAAAAGGATTATGGATCAAAACCCATAAACTAAAAATTCTAGCTTCGCCTGTTCTATTAGTATAAAGCATCAAATGCTTGAAATGTATTGCAGCAAGGATTTTACATATAATTCCATTTAGTATGAGTAACATATATAGTACAATACATCATAATTATGATCTCGCTTTGTTACTACATGACAACAACACAATATTTAATCACTGAAACCCCAGTATAACTTTTGTTGGCTTTTTCTGTATGCTGCTGAGTAGTTCTAACTTTTCAGTCATTTGCCTTTATTTTTGGCATTGACTTTTACCTGTAAAAGATCAAAAACCATTTTATGTTAGATAAGCCAATCCGGAACGGTGTTGGCATTGATGGAAGTTCTTTCTGATAGAAGTTTTACGCTATCAAGCATAACGTTCATAAAAATGGGATTAACAACCTGGAAAGTAAGGTATCATACCTACTACAACAAGTTAAAATACACTACAACAACAACGAAAAACCCAGTTTGATCCCATAAATGAGGTTTGGGGAGGGTAGCGTGTACGCAGACCTTACCCCTACCTCATAGAGATAGAGATGTTATTTCCGATAGACTCTCGGCTCAAGAAATAATGAAAATAAAGCACCAAGTACAATAATAGTATAAAAAAAAATTATACTTTCAATGTATATAAGTTAAATCCATTGTTACTACGGGTGAAACTACATGCTCTGTATCTCATATATTTTAAAGTGTTCAGAATCATTTAGTTTAATGAATTAGAAACCAAGGGTAGGAAATAATTGATTAATATTATTGGAGTACAGCCTTTTGTTTTGCTTTGTGGAAAAACCTCTATCTGTAAATAGACACATATTCTGAGGAGCTTTTAAGCAGAAACAACTATTGCTGCTAGAGTTTCAAATCAATTTGTTTATTGAAGTTTGATTCACAATTGCAAATAAAATGAAAAAAGATTTACCTTTGGTTAGATACTACTCTTGCAGGAGTCTCACAATTGTGTGGCTCAGACTGGCTTAACTGCAGATGGATGGGGGCATTCACTTCCCTACTAACTGTGAAGTAATATGGAGTACTGCTGTTTCCATTCACTTCATTTGCATCCCTTGTACCAAAAGCCTGAGAAATTCTTTTTTGACTCATTACTTTTTAGTGGCAGAAGGAATAAGGAAAAATATTTACTCGCATCTACTGTTTAAACCAAGCAAATAAAAGCATTTGGATCATGCACATACGCTTTAATCACTTCATTCTGGTTAAGTAATGTGTTTTCTCACTTTAATAGTGAATCTTATGGTTACACAGGTTAGTTTGGAGTAAACACTATATGCGGATAAGTATTTTCGAAAGAGAAAATTTTGATGTGTCAAGTCCTAGTTAAGAAGCAAACACCTATATATATAAATCCACATTTTCTTGTTGAATGATGTTTACCTTGTGGAAGAGTTCCAAATTTTCTTGATGCATTAGGCTCCCCTGTTTGAGTTAGTAAACATAGGAACACAGTCAAGACATCCGATTAACAATATTTTTAGCAATTGATGAACAATACTGTTATTCTTTTCCAATCTCTTCTTCATGTGATGAAACTTGAAAATTGCTACTACTATTTTGTATACCTTCAGAGATAGCTCTTGAATCTCATCATGTAATATTTGCTCCTGCAACAATCAAAGGACATTAGTGAGTTTTTCAGTTCGCATATTATCGTGTTGCAAATTATCAGTGTCATGTTGATTGCTGACCTTTTTCATACGGATGCCTCTTATGCTCGTTTCTAGTCGATTCTCCAGATTTTGAAGGTCCTTAATAGTCAACCCATAGAGCTGTTCCCCCATGACTTGCCTGGTTTATTAGTCGTAAGGAATTGCTAGTTGATTAGAATTATGCTTGAATATAAGACTACTATCTTCAAGTCTATGCACTACCTATGATTTTGTTGCAGTTCCTGTAACTGTTGCCGCAATATTGCTGCCTCTTTCTGCCAAAGCTAGCAAGTAAACTGTGAATACTCATGGATTGTGAAGTGAATGTACAAGTTTCAGTATCAAAAGTATACACGTTAAGTTCTATGGACTTAAGTTCAAGTCAAAATATTTATATAATCTGGCCACTTAAAAAGCACTTGCAAGTCTATATAATAAGCGTTTATTTAGTGGTAGTAGCCAGGAATAATTGATAAGTAATGCAGTTTAAAATACAGACAAGAGTGAGTTGTTCTAGTGGTGAGCACCCTCCACTTCCAACCAAGAGGTTGTGAGTTCGAGTCACCCCAAGAGCAAGGTGGGGAGTTCTTGGAGGGAGGGAGCCGAGGGTTTATCGGAAACAGCTTTTCTACCCCAGGTAGGGGTAAGGTCTACATACAAACTACCCTCCCCATACCCTACTAATGGGATTATACTGGGTTGTTGTCGTTGTTGTTGTTGTTAATCAGTTTAAAAAATTCAATTGAGTGTAAAAACTATTTATACTGTTACTGTGTATAAATTAGACCCTAACTAGACATACTGTGAGGTTTTTGTATAATTCATTGGCATAGCATTGAATTTCTTACTTTTGTTCAGGTAATTTAAACTACTAAGGCTATTACTCTGTGATTATACAACAGTAATGCAAGGGGTGACAACCACTTGCTTGAAACTTAAATTTACTCAAAAGTGAAGTCAGCATTCACAATTTTCAGATTGTTTTCATTCTTAAAAGTACCAAATCTTCCCATGCATTCGCGATTCCCTGGTACTTTCAAATAGGTATACAAAAAGAAAATGTGACATAACATCAAATTGTATTGTTAGGATCGGGAACTTCGGTAGTGCGGAATTTAGCCAAACAACGGTATAATGACAATAACAAAGACAATGGAAGGTGATAATAACGGCAATTAAAGAATATAAAGAAGACACAAATTTAACGTGGTTCGGTCAAGGTGACCTACGTCCACAAGCGGAGAGGAGCAATTTCACTATACCAACAAGAGTACAAAAGAGAGTATAAAATTAGAGTAAATACTCTAATTAATCCCAAATACCCCAAGAGAATAACCTAATAACCTCACAAGATCACTCCAAAAAAAAGGTTCACACAAGTGTTTCCCAATACTCACTCTCTTACAAAATACTCTATAATGAAATAAAGGAGGAGAAAGAAAGACAAGAGTGAAAAGCTCTTGAATTGGTGTGTTTGCAAATGAGGAGAAACTCCTCTATTTATAGCAAGAAATCCTTAGCCTAATAATGGATATTATGTCATGGCAAATGTCATGATCCACAAATTTGTTATAATGGATATTATGTCATGGCAAATGTCATGAACCACAAATTTGTTATAATGGATATTATGTCATGGCAAATGTCATGAAAATTTGGCCATATTACAAATCTCCACCTTGGCCTAATTTTGGCTTATAGTAAATTTGCTCCACCTTCTCCGCAAAAACCCCAATGGGCAAAATCATTCTTCATAAATGCCAATCAAGTTCAGGCAAAGCTTGAACTTGGACACTGGAAGAGGTTTTGTGAACATGTCAGCAGGATTGTCTCTAGTGTTGATCTTCTGAACAGAGACTTTTCTTTCAGCAATGGTTTCTCGGATGAAATGATACTTTATATCAATGTGCTTCGTCCTCTCATGATACATTTGATCTTTAGTCAAGTGAATGGCACTTTGACTATCACAGAAAATGGTAATACCACCTTGGTGTAAACTGAGTTCCGCAAATAGACCCTTCAACCATAAAGCTTCTTTGATCGCCTCGGTCACTGCCATATATTCTGCTTCGGTAGTAGATAAAGCTACTACATGTTGTAATGTAGCTTTCCAACTAATAGCGCAACCACCGATGCAAAATACATAGCCTGTCAGTGATCTTCTTTTGTCAAGATCACCTGCATAATCTGAGTCTACAAAACCAACCAAAGTGTTAGTATTTCTCCCAAACTCCAAACATGTGTTTGAAGTACCTCGCAAGTATCTGAGAATCCATTTCACAGCATGCCAATGTGCTTTACCAGGGCAAGCCATATACCGGCTTACCATGCTCACTGCTTGTGAAATGTCTGGACGTGTACAAACCATTGCATACATAATACTGCCGACTGCACTGGAATAAGGAACCTGTGCCATGTACCTCTCTTCTTCCTCTGACTGCGGGAACTGAGCAGCTGATAACTTAAAATGAGCAGCAAGAGGGGTACTAACTGGTTTAGCATCTTTCATGCCAAACCTCTCCAAGACTTTCTCCAAGTACTTCTTCTGGGTCAGAAATAACCTGTTGGCTTTTCGATCTCTTTTGATCTCCATGCCAAGGATTTTCTTAGCTGCTCCCAAATCTTTCATCTCAAATTCACTTTTCAACTGACTTTTCAAATTGTGAATTTCTGTTAAATCCTTAGCAGCAATGAGCATGTCATCAACATATAATAATAGGTACACAAATGAACCATCATTTAACTTCCGGAAGTAAACACAACTATCATACATGCTCCTCGAATAACCATGACCCAACATAAAGGAATCAAACCTTTTATACCATTGCCTTGGAGACTGCTTTAATCCGTACAAGGATTTCTTCAACAAGCAAACATGATCTTCTTTTCCTTCAATTTCAAATCCTTCGGGTTGATGCATGTATATTTGTTCCTCAAGTTCGCCATGTAAGAAAGCTGTCTTAACATCAAGTTGTTCTAATTCCAAATCATACATGGCAACGAAGGCAAGCAAGACACGAATAGAGCTATGTTTAACAACAGGTGAGAAAATATCATTAAAATCAACTCCTTGTACCTGACTATAGCCCTTTGCAACTAATCGTGCCTTATACCTCGCATCTTCAACCCCTGGAATGCCATCCTTTTTCTTGAAGACCCATTTGCAACCAACAATTCTTTTTCCTGATGGCGGCTTCACAAGAGACCAAGTACCATTCTTGTGGAGAGACTCAATTTCTTCATTCATTGCAATCAGCCACTTGGCTGAGTCAGCACCAGAAACTGCTTCTGAATATTTTGATGGTTCTCCAATTTCTTCAGTTTCCTGTGCAACTGAAAAAGCAAATGCAACATAATCTCCAAACCTTAATGGTTGTTTACCTTCTCTTCTTGGTCTATGTTTGGCTATAGAATACTCCTCTTCTTCTGGTTCAACTTCAGGAGTCTCAACTTCAGGAATTTCAGCTTCTGTCTCAACTTCAGGAGTTTCAACTGTATTTTGCTCCAAAGTTGATGAGCTTGGCTCAGAAGGAATGCCAATCTCAATCTCCACCTGGTTCTGTGTACTCTTTCCTTTATCTGTATTACAAGAACTAGAAGACTCTTTTCTAGAATGTAACATAGAGGATTCATCAAAGGTTACATCTCTGCTAATTATAAATTTTGGTGCCGTGGGATCAGGATACCATAGTCGGTATCCTTTCACCCCAGATGCATACCCAAGGAAAATGCACTTTTTAGCCCTTGGCTCTAATTTTCCATCATTTACATGCATGTATGCAGGGCAACCAAATATCTTTAAATCAGAATAATTAGCAGGAGTACCTGACCACATTTCCTCTGGAGTCTTAAAGTTCAAAGGTGCAGAAGGAGCTCGGTTGACAATATAACAAGCTGTAGAGATAGCTTCTGCCCAAAAGGCGTTTGTCAACCCAGCATTTGAAATCATGCAACGAGCCCTTTCCAAAAGAGTTCTATTCATCCTTTCTGCCACACCATTTTGCTGAGGTGTCATTCTCACAGTACGATGTCGAGCAATTCCTTCATTCTTGCAAAATTCGTTGAATTCATCATTACAAAATTCCAAGCCATTATCTGTTCTAAGCCGCTTAACCTGTTTTCCTGTTTGCTTCTCAATCAAAACTTTCCATTGTTTGAAATTTAAGAAAACATCACTTTTATTTTTCAGGAAATAAACCCAAACTTTCCTTGAATAATCATCAATGAAAGTTAACATATACCTGGCACCACCTTTTGATGGGGTACGTGAAGGACCCCAAAGATCTGAATGAATGTAATCCAAAGTACCTTTTGTTCTATGAATCGCTGGAGATTTGAAGCTGACTCTTTTCTGCTTCCCGAACATACAATGTTCACAGAACTCCATATTTTCGGTACTTTGGCCACATAAGATACCTCTTTTACTGAGGATGGAAAGAACTTTTTCACTCATTGCCCCAATCGCATATGCTACAATTTGGTGATGTCAGAATCTGATTTATCTGATATTGAAACTGCAGCAGCACCTGTAACAGTAGATCCCAAAAGAGTATACAACGTACCAGATCTGCGTGCTTTCATGATCACAAGAGCACCATGAGAAATTTTCAGAACTCCACCTTCACCTGTGTACTTGCACCCAAGAGATTCTAGAGTGCCCAAAGAGATGAGATTTTTCTTCAAGTCAGGAACATGTCTAAACATCGGTGAGAGTTCTCACCACACCATCGTGCATTTTGATTTGGACTGTACTTTTTCCAATAACTTTGCAGGCAGCATTGTTGCCCATCAAGACAACTCCACCTCCAATAGATTCATATGTGGTAAATAAATCCCGACTGGGACACATATGATAAGAACAACCCGAATCTAAAATCCACTCATTGTTAGATTTGAAACTATTATTAGTTGCTAAAAAAATAGTTTCCTTAGTCTCATCAGTAGCTACACTTGCTTCGGCAGTGTCAGTATTTTTGTGCTTATTTTTTTTCTCTATATGCTTTTCTTTGTTTTTCAATTTAAAGTATTCAGAAATAATGTGACCTTTCTTATGACAATATTTGCACATGACATTTCTGTATCTGGATTTTGACCTTGATTTAGGTTTCTCACTACTTGAATCTTTCTTATTGGATCTACCTCTTATGAATAAGCCTTCCCCTTGGTTCCCACTAGTTTCCCCAGTAATATCTCTATCTATTTGTTCTTTTGATTTCAAAATAGATTTGATATCTTTATAAGAGATATTATCCTTTCCATAAAGCATAGTATCTCTTATATGTTTAAACGACTGGGGTAAGGAAACAAGCAATAACACAGCTTGATCCTCATCTTTGATTTCAGCATCTATGTTACTTAAATCCATAAGAAGAGAATCAAAAGTATCAAGATGAGTAAGTATAGAGGTACCTTCAGCCATACAAAAAATGTAGAGTTTTTGCTTTAGGTAAAGCCTGTTTTCCATTGTTCTTTTGATATATAGGGTTTTAAGCTTTTCCCATATGCCTTTGGCTGAGCTTTCTGTTGCAATTTCACGCAACCCCTCATTTGAAAGATTTAAAATAATACCTGCTTTTGCCTTTTTGTCTATGACGACAAACTCCTCGTCCTTCATTTTATCCGGCATCTTCTCCTTTCCTTGAAGTGCCAAATCTAAGCCATCCTGAATTAGGATAGCTTCTATCTTTAATTGCCACATTCTGAAATTTGTACTTCGGTCAAATTTCTCAACATAAGACTTTGTTAGAGTCATTTTGGCTATTTAAAATAACCTGGTTAGATCTGGCTCTGATACCAATTTATTAGGATCGGGAACTCGGGTAGTGCGGAATTTAGCCAAACAACGATATAATGGCAATAACAAAGACAATGGAAGGTGATAATAACGGTAATTAAAGAATATAAAGAAGACACAAATTTAATGTGGTTCGGTCAAGGTGACCTACGTCCACAAGCGGAGAGGAGCAATTTCACTATACCAACAAGAGTACAAAAGAGAGTACAAAATTAGAGTAAATACTCTAATTAATCCCAAATACCCCAAGAGAATAACCTCACAAGATCACTCCAAAGAAAAGGTTCACACAAGTGTTTCCCAGCACTCACTCTCTTACAAAATACTCTATAATGAAATAAAGGAGGAGAAAGAAAGACAAGAGTGAAAAGCTCTTGAATTGGTGTATTTGCAAATGAGGAGAAACTCCTCTATTTATAGCAAGAAATTCTTGGCTTAATAATGGATATTATGTCATGGCAAATGTCATGATCCATAAATTTGTTATAATGGATATTATGTCATGACAAATGTCATGAAAATTGGCCATATTACAATTATGAATGAAGGATTTTAATTTGTGATTGGTTCTTTTTAGAAATCTCAGCAGAAAGAGTGACTTGACTTATCCAAAAGACAAATAGCCCAAAATAACCTTCCGTCACAGAGTATTTTTTGAAGGTTAATAACTTAATACATCTGTCTAGTTCATTCCCCTAGTTATGCAGCCAAATGATGACAAAGGAATCAACTTCCATCCTCCTTCTGTCAATCTTCCAATTTCAGTGCCCATTCTTACAACAAACATTAGCTAGAAATCAATCTGAGATTCTGGTACTATCCCTTATCTAAGAGCAAGTCGGTATAGCTTCTCACTCTTTCACATTTCCCACACAGTTCCTCTGGATTTTGAATAGTATCCAAGAACTTCTGTTTTCGACTATCTAGGAAATCACTAAATGAGAGTAGATTAGTTTTACTTTATTTTAAGTTAAACTCTTAGATTCAGTAATATATTAATATACACAATATCTTATATGATGGATAAGAAGAAAAAGTTATCAGAGAATTGTTGTCCAACTAGATTCTAAAACTAGTTATTCCTCTCTTAAATATATACTATATAAGAGCTTCTGAAATCAAAGATACATGCTAACACTATGTATAGTTTCCTCCTCCATCTTTCTGGTCACAGAAACCACATAGAAAAAGGATGTATTCTTCTTGAAAATTGAAGACTTTTTTTAATTCCTACTACCTCTCCGGAGTCTCAATTTCACTTACCTTACTGAGCTGAAGACGTCTGTATTACGATGTTACCAAATGATTTAATCACACATTGGATGTGCGGACTAGTAAGCAGAGGCAATTCTAGTCTAGAGTTTATAGTCAGTGAATTCAGAATGATCCGTTTTATCTATACACATACACAAGCAACTCTTTTTTGTTTGCATATGTACTTGTGGATCGATCAGAAAGTAATAAGGTGAGTTAAACTCTCATTGGACTGCTCTAGATCCGCCTCTGCTACTAAGATTAGTATAGTGGGTTAAGTAAACCGCGGGATGCCTCTGCATCTCTTTCTCTTCAGTATATCTTTTCAAGATAGATTGACGATGAATTTATAAAATATTTTAAAAGGGGATGCACCACGTCACATCTCAGCCATACTGTTCGACCAAGACAAACGAACTACTTTTTAATGGAATCATGTGAAACAACATTTGATCATGGAAAAGAGATCATATGCAACTATATGTGTGCTGGGTTTCAGAATGCAGCTATCTTTCAGTATCTGACTTATGGGCACTACATTTCCTTGGCTAGCTGATATTCAAAAAAAGAGCTCATGTCTAACAGCCTATATCTTTCAGCAATTTCCATTTACATTTGGACATCCATATGTGCCCCAGGATTTACACTTCAACTGACATCCAATAACCTAAATCATTCACTACATTAATTAGGTGTAAATATTGGTTCATATAGCAAAGATTTGTACTTCAACACACAACGGCAGAAAGTACTCTTCAGATGTTGTTCATGTCTGCTTCTTTCTCTGACATAATTCCATTAAAAAATAGTTCGTTCCTCCTGATTGTACAGGACTTAGACTAGGGGTGAGCGTCCGGGCAGTTCGGAATATGAAAATTTCGGTTTGGATATTCGGTTTTCGGATTATATAAATGACAAACGAAATCCAATCCAAATAAGTTAGGATTGGATCAGATTTTTTAAGTTCAGTTTTTGATTAATCGATTTGGATATTTCGGATTTTCGGTTTTGAGCCTATAAGTTTAGATGTTTTTCTTCTTACAAAAATGAACATCCAAATAAAGTATTCATGTTAAATTACCTAAAAGTTCTTCATTCTCACGGCAACCATCCAAATAAAGTATTCAAGTAATAAAATCATTATCAAGAAAATACAACAAAAACATTAATATGCCGATAAGAAGTAGCAATAGTAAAACTATGTTCAAATAGAAAGTATTCTAACAGTAACTTAGTAATTAATATTGATCGAATATATGAGATAATGTCTAATGTGTAGGGTATTGGACTTGTTACTATTGACATATGGCTAATGGACTAAATATAACGTATAAAAATTTCGGATTTTCGGATATCTACAAATCTGAAGTACCAAATCCAAAATCCAATCCAAAATCCAAACCAAAAATCCAAAAAGTTCGAATTTCGGGTTTGCCCAAACTATGCCCGCCCCTAACTTAGGACTACCCGAGCGAGAGATTGAAAACGCACCAACCTATTTCTATCAAGAAAATCTCTGTGATTCAGCTCTTAGAACTGTTGCCTATGTTTTTTTTTTTTCACATTCTTTGTGTGGATCTAATAGGAGTATAGAGGAGTAGTCAAAGGGATGGTGATATTCTAGTTTAGATGTTGAAGTATTGGTTTTTGCCAAAGAGCCCTAATTCAAGTAAATCAGTTCTCTTGAGTTAATTTCGCATATGATCACTGACTTTTTCCCACTATAACAGTAAAGTCACACAACCATCTCAAAAATATGACAAGATGCAAATTTCTAGCACGTATATACCGAAATTTTCAAGCACATGCAGAAATGAGTAGTGTGATGAAAATATTACCTTCAGTTCTGAAACTGGATTTTGCAATTGGTGATGCTCGTCTTTCGTTTTATTGTATCGTTCAACAACTGATTTCATACTGGTATTTGAAAAGGGGTAAAAAACTGGTCAATTAATTGTATTGTTTATATATATATATATATATATATACTGACGATAAAACTTATCCCACCTAGTGTTTTGAAAGTTACAGAAATATGAAAGTGAACTAGATAGAATAACTACTCCAAATATATTAACGACATTATTGATCTTTCTTTCCTTTCCCAAGCAACTAATATTGTTAATTTCAATCTTGTATGAAGCTAACGATTAATGCTGTTGTACTTTCATTTCTGTTTCACCGTTGTTTTTCTCTAGTGAAGTTTTCCAATATTCGCATTCTGCTATTTTCATGTCTCAACTTAAGAATGTCTATTGGTTAAACACTTGCAACAGACCAAAAATTCTGAATTGTGAGAATACAGTTTTTGATAATAAAATAAAGAACTTTTATTTATTTATGTGAAATCATAGATGTATTCACGATTTAAGTTTGATAGATTTAATCTTCGTAATCTTACCATTGAATACATTATACTTTTCAAATTATGGGTCAAAACAATATATATGCTTCATATCGAAATACTAAGATTGATTAGTTGAATACATTGATTATATATACAACATCTGCCTCTTGTTTGGAAATAGTCATGTTTCCTGTAACGCAGGAACACATTCCTTTTTTCACTCTAGACCAATATTTTTTTGCTATGGGTAAATGATAACGTAGAAATTGGAATATATATATTTGAATACTTGTAATTCAAAATACAAAATTTGTTGAGATAAGCTAGGATAATCTTCNATATATATATATATATTAAAGGATGACTCCTTCTATGAATGAATATACACTGAATTTATCCGAATCCCTCAATTCTTAAACAGCATACATAGCAAGATGAGGGTGAAGTTAAGCAGGCTCATGTTAGTAAATTTCCCTAAATGTTGGCTAATTAACTTGGATTACTAGCTACACTTATCCATCCATTCATTCTTATTAGTCTATTCTAAAAGGGACGATACACTACTATATTTAGAATTAATTTAACTTTAACTTTTTCGTTTATCCAATTTACCCAAGAAGCTTTTGTAGCCGCACAAATTGAGAGCCCCACAAAAGCTTTTGCCCTTAAAATTTTAAAACCACAAGTTTTAAACCTTTCCTTTTTTTACTTAAACTCTATGTCGTCGAGTCAAACTACGTCACATAAATTAAAAAGTAGGGAGTATGATGGAAAAAATAATATCCCATCCAGGAATAATATCAACGATAAATAATAATGACACAAGAGAGTAACAATGACACCAAATCTTTTAACGGGGTAAAATACAATATCCGAGAGGATCAATATAATACCACTATAATATTACAACTTTGTAGTGTCAAAAGACTACTACAACTCAAAAGAAATAACATTCTTTATTTTAAATATTTCACCACAATATTACTCCCACTCTATTTTCTTCTGTGGATTATTCTCACAACTCTAATACTTCTCTCTTATTTTTGGTGTGATTGAACTGAAGAAACAAGGCCTCTATTTATAGTAAGAGCTGCCGTCCAAATAGCCAATGAAAATGGCTTGTTGCTGATTTGGTCATGCAATTTGCATGTGTAATTTGCCTATAATTTGTCAACAAAGTTAGGCATCTACCATCGCATTTTTTTTATTTTCTTCAATATGGGCCCAATATCTCCCTTAATTTTGATTTTTCTTTTTCATTCCAAGACTTGATCTCAACCTCTGAAAATTCTCAAACTTAAGAGGATTTGTAAAGATATCTGCAGCCTGATCATGAGACTTCACATATTTGAGCTCGACTTCCTTTTTAGCAATGCATTCTCTGATGAAGTGATACCTTGTATCTATATGCTTGCTTCGATAATGATACACCAGATTATTGGCAAGTGCTGTGCGGATTTGTTGTCAATACAAATCTCTGTAGCTTCAATTTGTGGCAAATTGAGCTGCTTCAATAATCTTTTCAGCCAAATAGCATGACATGTACAAGATGTTGCTGCTATATATTCAGCTTCACAAGTCGAAAGAGTAACAATGGATTGTTTCTTTGAACTCCAAAAAATAACAGAACCACCCAAGAAAAACACAAAACCAGTTATATTTTTTCTATCATCAAATCTCCCGCATAATCACTATCACAAAATCTCATAAGGTTGAAGTCATTAGAAGAAGAATAAAATAACCCAAAGTCGATCGTACCTTTTAGGTAACGAAGAATTCTTCTAGTGACTTTCAAATGAGTGGAGGTAGGAGCTTTCATGAAGCGGTTTACTACTCCAACTACAAAGAGTATATTTAGTCTGGTACAAGTCAAGTACCTCAAACTTAGCACAAGACTTTTAAAAAATATGGGATCCACTTTTTCTCCTTCATCAAACTTGGATAATTTTGTCCCACTCTCCATCGGTGTGTTCACGGGGTTGCAATCGAGCATGTTGAACTTCTTCACTATCTCTTTTGTATAGCTTTCTTGAGAAATAAAAATTCCATCCTCCATCTGCTTCACTTCTAGGCCCAGGTAGTCTGACATAAGTCATACGTCTGTCATCTCGAACTCGCGGGACATATCTTTCTTAAAAGCTTCAAACAAACTTGGGTTATTACCCGTAAAAATAAGATCATCAACATAAAGACAAACAAGCAAGATCTCTCCATTAGTATGAATTTTAAGATAAAGAGCATATTCATGGAGACAACGAGTAAACCCATTATTTTAAAAATACTTGTCGATGCAACTATTCAATGCTCGAGGGGCTTGCTTCAATCTATATAAAGCTTTGTTCAACTTCAACACTTTATCTTCATAGTTTTTGACCACGAAGCCTAATAGTTGTTCAACATAGACTTCTTCTTCAAGATAGCTATTCAAGAAGGCTGGCTTGACATCTAGTTGATGGATCTTCCACTTCATTTGTGCCGCCAAAGAGATCAACAAATGAATTATCTCCATGGGACAACAGGTGCATAGACTTCTTCATAGTCAATGCCTTGCCTTTGCTTGTAGCCTTTAGCCACAATTCGTGCCTTGTATCTCTTCACATCTCCATCAATATTCTTCTTTGTCTTATAAACCTATTTTACTCCAAATGCTCGATGACCTTTGGGAAGAGTTGTTAACTCCCAGGTGTTGTTCTTCTCTATTGACTCGATCTCCTCCTCCATGGCTTATCTCCACCGTTTGTTTGTAACAGCTTCATCAAAGTTCATTGGTTCACTGTCAGCAAAGAGATAATATAAAAAATCAAAATTAGTAACTTCTTCTGTGTCCTCATATAGCTCTTGAATACTCCTTGTCCTTTGCGGCTGTTCATTTGAACTTTCTTGAGAAGAGGGAGATGCAACATTTGTTGGAGAAGGAGGTAGAGTTGTATCCTGCACAGGTTCCATGGTCTTTGGTTCTTCTTGATCACCAAAGTATGGAAGAAAATCATATGAAGTTTCTTCCTGAGCTTCCAAGATTCATGCCAATTCTTCATCAAATTAAACATCGCGACTAACCAACACCTTATCGCTGCTTGGGTTGTATAACTTATAGCCTTTTGAACTTGTATCATAGCCAACAAACACATGCTTGGCACTTTGATTGTCAAGCTTAGCTCTCCCTTGTTGTGGCACATAAGCATAGGCTATGCTCCCAAATATTCTCAAGTGTTTGATACTTGGTTTTCTTCCACTCCATACTTCTTGAGAGGTTTGATCTCTAACATTTCTTGTTGGAGACCTGTTGTTCAAATAAACTGCACAAGAAACAGTTTCGACCCAAAACTCCCTGGGCATACTTTTAGCTTTCAACATACATCTAGCCATATTAAAAATCGTTCGATTCTTTCTCTCTGCAACTCCATTTTGTTTGGGTGAATAAGGTACTGTTAGAGGGCGACGAATTCCATGAAACTGACAAAACTCATTATATTCTTTTGAAGTGAATTTGCATCCTCTATCAGACATTAAAGCTTTTATTTCATAGCCACTTTCTTTTTTCACAATTATTTTGAAATTTTTAAAAGCAGCAAAAGCTTTAGATTTTTGGTTCAAAAAATGAACCAGTCTTTCTACTAAAGTCATCAATGAGGAGCAGAAAGTATTTAATTTTACCATAGGATGGAGGATTGATTGGCCCATACATCAGTGTGAACAAGCTGGAGCATTTTGGTTGATCTTGACATGGCCTCATTTGAAAAACTCCTCCTTGCATGTTTTCCAAGAAGACAATCTTCACACAATTGATTGGGATGGTTGATTGATGGTATTCCATGCACCATGTTCCTTTCTCCCATTGATTTGAGTGCTTCAAAATTCAAGTGCCCAAATCGTATGTGCCAATACCATGATTCATCTTGCACATTAGCCTTCAAACACTTTGCATAAATTATCTTAAGATTCAGAGAAAATAATCTATTCTTTGCCATATGCACTTTAACAATTAGAATTCCACTTGAATCTCTAAGCCAAATATGCATATTTTTCATGTGGATGTCATATTCCTTTTCAAGAATTTGGCCCAAACTCAAAGAAGGGGCTGAAGTTCGACGCAGAGCTTTTTGGTTGTTAAGTTATAACACGACTGAGCAACATCCAACAACGTAAGTCCTTCTGGTTTGCACTAAAGTGGCTTAAGTAGCCCTTGGGAGATGGGGTCCCAAGACCATCTCTTCGAGGACGTAGACAAGGGGTCCCATCATGGGCGATCTGAGAAGAGAGATGCAGAAGAAGATGTCTTCCTCAACGAGTCAACCTTCCTTCACTCTGCAATAGCCCGACGACTCTTCTCTTCACAAGTAGGCTTGGCGCAACGCTTAGTCGATTTTCAAAGCTGGAAAAGATGCAAGAAGACTGATGAGGCGCTGGAGTGAAGTGATTCCCGAGTGGGAATGGTGAACAGAGTTAGACTACTAAGCCCTTATTTGAAGGACCGGTCTTAAAGTGAAGTGCAAGACTAGCTGGACCCGGACTGACTAATCGCTAACATCCCGGGTTCTCTCGGGATCGGGAGAACTCTCAGTTAAGTATGACATTCAGTAAGAAGTAAGTCAAGTTCTATTAGCTCTTCTAACTTTTCTTAGAGTCGTCAGTCTGTGATGCATTGAGTTGAGAGTCAAAGGATAAAGGAGTAGAAAACCTTATAACTGAAAAAAATTCGAGTGAAAGCCAGCTGCGACAAGCTGAAAGAGTTTCGGCAGTTACACTTTCTGTCTCGCGTAAAAAAGAGAGTTTTAATTTTGGCACATAATAAACATCTTGAATTAACTTGTGGTCACCATTTTTACAGGAGATCAGAATCGTATCTATCCCTTTGATTTGAATTTTTGAGGTATCTCCAAAAGACGTATTATCTCTCACCGTTTTATTGATCTCCACAAACTTCTCTTTGCGTCCACACATATGATTGCTTGCTTCATTGTCCAAATACCACGCGCTACAATCATCCATGTCTTCTTCCTTGAATGCCAGCAACAACGTTGACTCATCATCTTCTTTCTTGTCGTCAACAAGGTTAGCTTTTTCTTCAACATCGCTACGACATTCCTAAGAGTAATGGCCAAATTTATGACAATTATAACACTCAATTTTTAATTTGTCATACCTTTTGTCCATTATTTTCTTGGTAGTAGCCATGTCCTCTTCCTCCTCTATGTCCACGACCATGACCTCTGAATGTTTGGTGGATTTTAACTTCATTGTTGAAGTTGTTACCGTTACTTCTTCCTCTTCCATGACCGCCACGGCCTCGTCCTCATCCCTTCCCTCGATAGCTTTTTTTACCTTAAAGGATGCCTGAGTTTTAAGAAATTACTCCAGCGACACTTCTTGTCTCCTCTTGATCTTTTCTTCATAGGCTTGTAAAGAACCCTCCAACTGCTCCACCGTCATAGAGTCTAAATCTTTAGACTCCTCAATAGCACACACCGCAAAATTGAATTTAGGTGTTAAAGTGCGAAGGATCTTTTTTACCACGCGGACATCTTTTATATCCTCCGCATATCTTTTCAATTGATTTACAATAACCTTCACTTTTGAACAATAATCCGCAATGCATTCAGATTCTTTCATTTTTAAAACTTCAAAATCAACCCTTAGAGTTTAAAGTTTTACCTTTCTCACTTTATCAACTCCTTGGGGAGAATTTAGTAAAATCTCCCAAGCTTCCTTTAAGGTGGTAGCATCTGCCACCTTCTCAAATATGGCGTCACTCAAACATTGGTGGATAAGAGTGAGAGCTTGTCGATCCTTCTTCCTTGTCTTTGCCAAGACATCTATTTCATTTTGAGGCAGAGTTTTCTCATTATCGGGTTTTGCATATCATCTATCTATGATTTTTCACACATCCTAGGAGCCAAGAATGGATTTCATACGTAGACAACATTTCTCATAATTATCTTTTGTGAGACAGGGGTACTAAAAAGACAGCGGACCATTATTCGTCATGGTTCTGATACCACATTGTTGGGAAAAATAATATCTCGCCCAGGAATAATATCCACGATAAATAATAATGATACAAGAGAGTAACAATGACACCAAATCTTTTAACGGGGTAAAATACAATACCCGAGAGGAGCAATATAATACCACTATAATATTACAACTTTATAGTGTCAAAAGACTATTACGACTCAAAAGAAATAACATTCTTTATTTTAAATATCTCACCACAATATTACTCTACTCTATTTTCTCACAGACTAAAATAGTATGTGGATTACTCTCACAACTCTAATACTTCTCTCTTATTTTTAGTGTGATTGAAATGAAGAAACAAGGCCTCTATTTATAGTAAGAGTTGCCGTCCAAATAGCCGATGAAAATGGCTTGTTGCTGATTTGGTCATGCAATTTGCATGTGCAATTTGCTTATAATTTGTCAACAAAGTTAGGCACCTACCATCCCATTATTTTTTCTTTCCTTTTTGTTTTCTTCAATATGGGCCCCATATATGAAAAAGGATTTAAGTTATAAACACTATGTAATTTAATATATTGTGCACGTTAGTTATCATTTTTATATAGTTTACCAGCTACCGTAACACTTACCATAAAGATTTACCTAGTTAATAACCTTAATTATACGTCACTTGATTATGTAAGTATTTTTTAGACTATCAATGTATAGCTCCTAAACTCTCATAAGTTAATATTTTTAACGTGCAAGTCACCTTAAAGGGAAATCATTTGAGTAGATTTAGTTTTTAGAGCTTGCATTATAGTGCAACGCTAAACAGTGCACTATGTATATGCTATATAATGATGTTTCTTAGGTTTAATATTTGTAGAATATGGTCTCATGTAGAACTTTAGGTTTTAGGTATGGAATTATCAATGTTCATTCTGATAAAATGTTAGAAAACTGGATAGAAAATGGTACTTCCACAGTTTTGTCAGTTAACAGGTTTTATCATTTGCTTTTTATGATTAAAGGGAGATTAAGGATAAATAAGTTCCTTTTCGAAGCATCAATTGCATAACCCAATTTTTTGCTTATACTTATAATTCACGAGTTTGAGCAGTGTAGATGCATGTATTAGGGTAGGCTGTCTATGGTGGCAGAGCCAGAATTTTTGTTAAGGGTGTCAAAATATATAAAAGTAAATATATCAGGAAATAAAGGGGAGTCAATACATAATATATATATATATATATATAATTTATTTTTTTACCTAGCTACACAGTGCATTTTTTCCGCGAAGGGGTGCCATTTGACACCCATTCCTATAAGGTGGCTCTGCCACTGACTGTCTACATTAATTATACCCTTTGGGGTGCGACCCTTCCGCGAATCCTATGTTAATGCGGGATACTTTATACACCGAACTGCCTCTTTTTTTGCCTTTTTTTCTTATGATCATGGACAAACCATCATAATGCTATGTATCTGAGTATCTGACCCAAATCTAAGCAGCTTCGTGTTATCTCTTCCTGTCCTAAAGAAAAATGACTAAATCTGAACAAATTTCTCCATTTATTTCCTTGTTTTTGACGAATTAGGAACCCGTGTATAACTGAGAAGGGAACAATAGCAGAAGTAATATCCTTGAAGAACTGAAGGAGAAAAAAAATAAAGAAGACCGTTCAGTAAATAATTATACAGTTTAATCTGTGTTCCTGTGATAAATACATATATAATCTATGTTGCTCGAATTTTNTTTAGAAAGACCTGACCAACATATAGTCTGTGTATAATACATGTATCACTTAATTTTTTTTTTTGTATTATAGTTAAGCTAGCTCAAATTAAGCTGTCATATTATTAGTGAATATTAGCCCATGATCTCATCAAATTAGCAAAGAGAGACCCTCAAGCTACTTAGCATATAAGAACACAAGAGATGTATTATTTGTAGTTTTTTTTTTAATTTTTTTTTATTATGACCAGAAAATAGAGAACTGGTTAGGAATATTCAATTGCAAGTTGAATGGTAATGGACAAGAAGGCAAAAAGCAATTATTCAAATACTCAATTTACCTAGTGCTTACCACATTATATACAGCATAGGATTCGAAAAAAAAAAGAATATCATAAACAACAAAATGAGATACTATGAAAATGAAAAATAATTACCTTGTGTTAGAAAATTCATAGAGCTTTTCTGTACTTGAGAAAATGATCAATCCAACTTGTGCATCACAGAGGATAGCCAACTCCTTAGCTTTCTTCAACAATCCATTCCTTCTCTTAGAGAAAGTCACTTGCCTACTTGATGAGTTATCAATTCTTCGGATCACAATCTTTCCCCTTCCCATCTTATCTTGCTAGGGTTATCTCTACAAAAAAAAAGGATTAATTAGAGAAAGAAAAAACCAATGGATTAAGAGAATATTAGGTATTTTAGGTTAAAAGTAAAGTGTGAAGGAAAGGAAAGCTAAGTAAGCATACTTGGGTTTGTTTGAGCTTTATGGAAATTAAACAAAGTCTTTTGGTGAAGTTTGGCCAAGGGTTTGCCTCACATCAAAGTCAGGAAAAGAGCTACTTTTATAAGCCAATGAGAAGTCTGAGACCCCATCGTAAGCACTATTGAGATAAAAAAAAAAAAAATTGTGCAACTTGGTCATTTAAATATACTGCTCCCTCTCCTCAAAATTGAGGACTAAATTTATTACTGAAATATTTGAAATTCAATAAAAACAAAAAATGATTACTACTTTTTTTTTTTTTTCAAACTTCAATTAGTGGAGCCTTAATTAAGTTAGTTGTTTAATAGAGAAATAAATGATGGTTTATAAACACTTCTTTAAATAAGGGAATTAACGTCTTTAGTAAGAAGTATGCAAAACCTTTAAAGATAAATGACAATACAGATAGAAATAATAGTTATATTAAAATATTTAAGTATAGATTAATGATTTAAAGAAAAATAAATACTCTCGTTAGAATCCACCAATATACGCTAAACGTTAAACTATTAGACTGTCATACATAAAACTAAAATTCCTTTTGTTAGACTTTACTTTTGTTTTGCTTTTTAAAATTTCGCTAGAACTACATTTTTTAAAGTTCGGAGGAGTGGCACCCCATTTGATGGCGCCGTCGCCGTATAAATCACTGACGCGTGGGGAATCCAAGTCTTTCCTATTTTTTCCTAAAAGTGGAAAAAGTATTTTCCCATTTTGAGTAACTTCATCCTTAAACTATCTGCAAAAGACAAACATTTTAGGACCTCATCCGACTCTTAATTATTTTAATAAAAATCAGTGTTCTTTGGCTACTTTTAAGAGTTTTCACGTGACCTTACTCGTAATACATGTTTCGCCCTTTTAATGTTGTTTTCTTTCAGTCCATTAGTCCAATTTCTTTTGTACTATGCCTTTTGTTTTTACTCCCAAAATTTCTTCTTCCTCCTCTTTTTTCCTAATTCTGGCACAAAAAATGATTGGAAAATACCTGTTTAAAAAATGAGGTAAGTTCAAAAGATATCTGTCTATTGGGAAATTGTGTTTTCTATTTTAATATTTTGCTGAATTAAAGTCAAATCTATGACTATGGGAAGAAAATGAGATACATATTTAATTCTAATGAAATTTGTAGCTAGTTGAAGGGTGTCTTTCCATCAAAATGATATATATCAGAGTGAAGTAACTGATAGTAATAATTTGTTAACCATGGACAACAATGTGCGGACCTAATTCTTTTTCATAGGCCAATTACATGAAGTTTCCTTTTTAATAATTAGTGGTAGATGAGAAAATATGTCACCGAAACAATATCGAGAAGACAATATTTTATTATATAAAACAGTTACATGACCTTATGTATTCATACAAGATTTTGATTGACTAATACAAGAGTCCTAATTCTAATAAACTTATACTAAGTGATCGAGTAGTTATCAAGTTTGTTAACCCGATCATTATCTTCAACACTTCCCCTCAAGCTAGTGGGAGGTGAGTTCACTACATCTAGCTTGTCTCGAAAGAACTGGAATTGGTCCTTGCCAAGAGCTTTTGTATGAACATCTGGTAATTGATCCTTGGATCTAACAAACTGAGTGATTAATTATCCTTGAGCTACTTTCTCTCTGAAAAAATGATAATCTAGTTCTACATGCTTAGTTCTAGCATGCATTACTGGATTTGTAGTCATGTATAGAGCACTCAAGTTGTCACAGAATAGAACATGAGCAGTCTTGATATACATTCCAATGTCTTGTAGAATATAACTTATCCAAGTAAGTTCAGTTACAGTTGCTGCCAGTGCTCTATACTCAGTTTCAACACTTGACCTTGCAACAATGTTCTGCTTTCTTGATGACCAGGTGATAGAATTTGCACCAAGGTATATACTATATCTAGTAGTAGACCTCCTAGTTATGGAACATCCTGCCCAGTCTACATCTGAGAACCATACAGCCTGAAGGAAGACTGTGATATGATTCTCAATTCACGATCAAGGGTCCCTTTGACATACCTCAACATTCTCTTTACTTCCTGAAGGTGCATGCTATTTGGATTCTGCATGAATTGACTTGCAAGGTTAATAACATGAGTAATGTCTGGTCTGGTTAGTGTGAGGTACTGCAAGCTTCCCACAATGCTTCTGTAAAGTGAGGGATCAATTGCTTTGCCAACTGCTTCTTGTAGACCATGTTTCTAAGTTAGTGGAGTATGCACTGTTTTTGCATTTGCCATATCCACTTTTCTAAGAAGATAATTTGCATATTTACTCTGATTCAAGTGCATTCCTCCAGAAAAATAGCTTACTTCAGTACCCAAGAAGTAACTTAAAGGTCAAAGATCCTTCATAGCAAATTTATCTCCCAGCTTTTGCACTACTTCCCCAATCTGTCTTGAGTTGCTTCTTGTCACAATTATATCATCTACATATAGTATAAGTAAGATTGTTCCTTCTGTATCATGGAGAGTAAGTAGAGAACAATCAACTCTACTACATTTGAAACTAAGATAAAGTAGGAATAGGCTAAACCTCTCAAACCAAGCTCTGGGAGCTTGTTTGAGGCCATGGAGTGCCTTCTTTAAGAAACAAATATGGTCAGGATACCTTGAATCAGTGAAGCCTGGTGGTTGAGTCATATAGACTTCATCCTATAGATGAACATGTAGGAAGACATTCTTACATCTAGTTGCCTAATGGGCCAATGTAAAGTGACAACAACAGAAAGGATAACTCTTATAGTTGTAGCTTTAACTACTGGAGTGAAAGTTTCTTCAAAATCAACCCCTTCAAGTTGTGAGTACGCTTTAGTAACTAGCCTTGCTTTGTGTCTTTCTATTGACCCATCTGGTTTCATTTTTGTTATAAACACCCACTTAGACCCTACTACATTTATTGCTGGAGTTCTGGGGACTAACATCCAAGTTTCATTTTGATGTAAGGGTACTAATGCTTCTTGCATTGCTTTAATCCAGTAAGGGGGTGAAGAATTTTAATCACTCATTAGTACCCTTGCATTAGTTTTAGTCCGAAAATAGTGATTTTATTTCCAAATCTAATGAAAACATGTAAATTATAAGCATGTTGGAAGATTGGAGCTTAACGAAGAAATCAACTCAAAAAGGAGTATTTCAGCTCAACAAGGCAAAAATGTGAACTGCAAGAAGAAGTGCTCGTAGATGATTATGCGGTCAGCAAAAATAGAAGTGTGGCCACAAACGAAGCCCTGAAGCCTCTGAAGAGTTTTGTAAATGCGCGGTCCGCACACTAAATTGTGCGGCCGCAAAAGCTGGTCGCATTGACAAAGTTTGACAAGTTTAGAGAAGGTGCAAATGACCAAGTGTGGAGCCTCTTGAAAATGCAGTCCATAATTTGCAGCAGCAGAGTTCCTCTTATTGCAAGGGAAGAAGAAAAGTTTGGTCCGCACATGGAATTGTGCGGCCGCAGAACCTCTCTAAGGGCATTTTTGTCAGAGAATTTCTGGACACTATAAATAGATGGGAAACACTTTTTTAGAGGAAGTTTTGTATTCCTAGAAGTTGTAGCAGTTATATTTTACCTTTTAAGGTGTAATAAAAATTAGAGAAGACCCATTAATTTTACACTTTAATTCTAGTTTTATGTCTTCAATTACTTCTTCTCTTTATTTTTCTAAGTCAATTATCATGAGTAGCTAGAATTATCAAGGGTTGTGACCCAATCCTAGTGTGTAAATCTTATGGGTTGTTAATACTAATACTTGTTTATGATTGGGTGTTGGTTATTTAGATTTGTTTATGAATTTTATCTAGAATTAATGGTTGCAAATATTGATTCATGCCTATTTGACTTAGTTCTTACTTGAGAAAGAGGAACCTAGTCTAGGAACACTTGGCTAACAAGAAATTGAACTAGTTAAGGTTTTGACTAGTTTGATTAAAGGGTTTGAACTAGAGATAAGGAAAACCCGACTTGGACTCATATCAATTGCTTAGATTGATACCCATTTGGATTTGAGAATGCCAATTTTGGCATAACTGCTCTTTGACCGAGAGGTATTGAGTGGGTACTTGCGAATTGAGAGTCATAATACACCCCGATCTACCAAACAAGCATTAATTTAATATACACATTAGGTTTACACCTAGGTGAAGGTTATATCCCTAGGCTTTTTCTCAATTGATAAAAAAAACAACAAAAATAATTTACTCTCTAGTTGCTTTTACTTAGTCTAATTTCTTAGTGTTAAGTTAGATAACAATCATCTTCTTGTTTTGAAGTATAATTTAGCTATTTTAAGTTCTCTCTTCAAGTATTTAGCTTAATACCGATTATAAACACCTCGAGAAATTCGACCCTGACTCACGTTGGGTATTATAATTGTAACGACCATTTTCCACTTTTTATTGAGTTTGGATTGGACGTGATCAATTTTTGGCGCCGTTGCTGGGGAGTTTTTATGGTATTAGCTATATACTTGAGTTTGTTTCTTGAAATATCTTCTTTTACTTTCGTGATTCTAATTTGTTGAAGTAACGGTATGTACCAAATAGCGAACAACAAACTTGGAAATTTGCCATTGGGAGAGGTGGATGGCGAAGAAGAGCAACTTGGTGAAATGCCTTAAGCTCCACAACAAAATCGCTCAGGTCGTGTTTAACAAGATGCTTTAAGGCTAAGGTGTTTTCTCTTCTCACTAAGGGTTAAGGCTTTGGATTGGTTGGAACGCTTGCTTAATCATTCTATCCATACTTAGGATGAATCAACGGCGAAGTTTATCACAAAGTTTTTCTTTCCCTAGCATATGGCTACTCTTAGGGATGAAATATTAGCTTTCAAGCAAGAGCCCAATGAACCGTTGTATGAAATTTGGGAGCGGTATCAAATAATGGTGAAAGAGTGGTCGAACAATGATATAACTGACAACATGATTTAACAAACTTTCTACCGTGGTATTAATACTATGAACCAATGTGTGGTTAATCAATTGGCCGGAGGCAACTTTATGACAACACCTTATGCGGAGGCATGTGAGATTCTTGATGAGATGGCGGAAACTTCTTCGGCTTGGCAATGCC